TGCTCATCTCACTTTCTTGAAAACTCATGTTCAGCTCTTTAGTTCATTTTTTAAAAAATTCTTTTCTTGTTTAGCTTTTAAGTTCTTTATTCTGGGTATTAATGCTCTGCCTCCCATTCTTAAGGCATTCTTCACTTTCTTTTCCAGAAGTTTCAGAGAATTAGGTCTTACACTAAGGCCTATTTGGAGTTAAATTTTGTGTAAGGTCAAAGAAAATTATCTGCTGTCTCCTTTCTACATGAAGATGCCAGGTGTCCCCAGCACTCACTGTCTCTAACGTACTAACGTATGCTTTGGGTATCTTTATCAAAAATCAGGTAGTTATAGCTGCATGGGTATTTTATTTTATATATGGATCTACTTGTCTCGGGGGGGATAATACCACCTGTCCTTTGTAATATAACTTGATATTAGTTATGATAATATTTCCAGCATTACTGGTTTTGCTCAGGATTACATTGGCTATCATAGGTCTTTTGTGTTTCCAAATTATTCAGATAATTTTTTTCTATTTCTGTGATTAGTGGTGTTGGCATTTTGATGGGGATTGCAGTGAATCTGTATGAATCATTCAGTAAGATGCAGAAAAGGCTTTTTGATAAAAAACCTATATCCCTTTATGATAAAAGTCCCGAAGAAACACAAAATAAAAGAAACCGATCTGGACATAATAAAGCCTATAGGAGATGAACATTTCACACTGTAGACGCTTCCAAAGAGCCTGAAAGAGTGATAGACACCTTCTAGTGTCTTCTTCAGTTTCCCTTTTGAGTATTATAAAGCTTTCATTAGAGAGGTTATTGACGTCTTCCGTTGGGCTTATTCCGAGTCATTTTCTTAGGCAGTTTTGAATGGGATCGTTTGCTTGGTTTTTCCCCTCAGCATGTTTGTTATTGGCAGATAAGAACGATGCTGATTTTCTATGCTAATTTCTTAATATGCCACTTTGTTGAAAGTATGCACAGGCTCTAGGAATTTTCTGGGGGCTGAAGAGATTGCTCAATGATTAAGAACGCCGGATACTCTTCTAGAGGACCCAGGTTTGATTTCTATCACCCACATGGTAGCTCATAACTGTCTGTAACTGCAGTCCCAGGGAATCCACCAGGCATGTACTTGGTGCAAAGACATACATGCAGGCAAAACACTCATACACCTACAAACAATGAACACGTTTAAAAAAGGACATTCTAGTGGATTCTTTAGGATCTCTTTCACACAGAATCATTTCATCTGCAAATAATGATACTTTGACTTCTTCCTTTCCTATTTATGGCCTTTCTATTTGGTTGTCTTCTATTGCTTTATTAGTATTGTCAACACTGCATTGACATGATACAGCAAGTGGACACCTTCATCATATTCCTGATTTGAGTACAAATACTTTTTCCTATACTATTATTAATATTCTCAAGCATAATACTAGCTACATGTCCAGCAGATATAGGCTTTATTATATTCTGATGTGTTTCCTTTATTTCGTGTTTCTTCAGGACTTTTATCTTGAAGGGATATAGGTTTTTGTCAAAAGCCTTTTCTGTATTTATCCAGATGATCACATGATTGTGTCCCTGAGTCCATTAATGTCATGGATTATAGCTGTTGATTTGAATGTATTGAACTACCTGCTCTAGCTTGCTCTCTGTCACTTTGATAAAGCACTGACCACAAGCAATTTGGGGGAAAGAACTTATTTAAGTTCATAGGTTACATGGTTACATCATAAGAGAAGCCAGAGCTGGAGCTCAAAGCAGTTTCTTCTGGCAGGAACTGAAGCGGAAACAATGGGGGACACTGTTCACTGGCTGGTTCTCCATGACTGGCTAAGCTTCTCACTGGCTTGCTACCCATAGCTGACTAAGCCTGCTTTCTTATACAATCCAGGACCACATTGTCAGGGGTAGCATGTCCCCTAGTGCTCTGGGCTTTCCCACATCAATTTTTAATTAAGAAAATGTCCTGTAGAGGTAAAAGGAATACTCCTCCATTGCTGGTGGGAGTGAAAACTGGTACAACCACTTCAAATATAACTATGACAATTTCTCAGAAAATCGGGAAACAACCCACCTCAAAACCCAGCAATACCACTTTTGGGTATATACCCAAAGGATGTTTAATCATACCACAAGGACATGTGCTCAACTATGTTCATAGCAGCATTATTTGTCATAGCCAGAGCCTGGAAACAACTTAAGTGCCCCTCAACTGAAGAATGGATAAGGAAAATGTGGTACATTTACACATTGGAGTACTACATAGTGGAAAAAAATAATGACATCTTGAAATTTGTGGGCAAATAGATATATCTAGAAAGCATTATATTGAGTGAAGTAACCCAGACCCAGAATATCATATGTACTCACTCATAAGTGAATTTCATACAGAAAGCAAAGAAAAACAATCCCACAATTCACAATCCCAGAGAACCTAGACAACAAAGAGGACTCTAAGAGAGACATACATGGGTCTAATCTATGTGAGAAGTAGAAAAAGAAAAGATCTCCTGAGTAAATCGGGAGCATGGGGATCATGGGATATGGTAGACATTGAGGGGAGCGGACAGAAATATATAT